TTCTGTTGCAGACCAGTCCCGATGTCGGGGACCTGCGCCCCACATCCCAATGCCGGGGACCATCCCCCCCCCATGTCCCAGTGACAGGCAAGAAAAATTTAGCAAGACCCCATGTCAACCAACAAGGCAGCTATGGTGGCAGACGACTGCAATCCCAGCCACTGAAAAGTTACAAATCGGGAGGATCCAGGTGGGAGATTGGTCCAGACAGAAAGAAAGACCCCGTCTGAACCAACGAGGCAAGCATGGCGGTGTACGCCTGCCATGTCGGGTCCTTGGGAGGCAGACATCAAGTATTTGAGGCCAGCCACGCGACAACTGAGAGACCCCATCTCACCCAACTAGCCAGGCATGTTGTGCCATTCCTGTAGTCTCAGGGACGACAAAACCCCATAAGGGTCACAGCCTCCACCCCGTGACCCAGCGTCAGTGACCTCCCCCCCCCCATCACAACGTCCCCCGTGCCTTACCGATGAGGCCGGTGCGGTACCCCCGGTGCTGCAGCAAGGTAGCGAAGGTCGTCTCGTTCGGGGGGAGACCCCCTGAGCTCGCGAGCCAGGTGAGACTTCGGTACATGTTGTTGGCTGAAGCCATCCCTAAATCCACGATGACACGTTAGCCAGCAAGTCCCTCTTCCTGGACACTGCTGTTGACCGAATACTGGGGATCGTGGTGACATGGCTGACACTGTCCAGAGACTCCCCAACTCCACCATTCCCTCCCCCGTTTCCTCTTCACTGTGCGGCCATAAGCCTGTCCCCCAACCTTTCCCCTCGTTTGAGTTCTACACCCTTGGGGACCAGACATGGCTGCCATTGCTCCTTCCACTATGGAAAGCACCCACATCTGCACCCGACATGGCTCGCAGACAGACAAGGAAAGACTGAATGGAGAAGGGTAAATTGGAAGCAGGTTTGTAAGGCCTTGTCCACACAAAAGGCTATTAAACAAAAAGGTTTCTCTTTGCAAAATTCCCTCTCCTTTTTGGTTGGAGGTCCCCGGTGGCCTCACCGGATCGGATGGGGTAGCGCCCCGTGAGGAAGGCGGCCCGGCTCGGGGTGCACATGGAGGCGGCCGATAGGTGCTGGGTGAGCAGGACGCCCTCGTGGGCCAGACGGTCGATATTAGGGGTGCTGAGGGAAAAAAAAATTAAAAGGGTCTATGACCCAATTGCACCCTGGTCCAGATGACTCTATGTGCAGCAAAATTAAAACCAGAACTTCATTCAAAACTGAGAAGAATTGATGTCCATAAAACAAATGCAACGACCAGAGCAGATCCCACACTGTCAGAGGCGTTCCTTCAATGTGGAAACGACAGAACTGGACAGATGGGAAAACTCAACTCTACAAAACTTACATGTGTGAGCTGCAAATTGCAAACGAATCTGATCAGTAGAAAAAAACGCTAATTTGGCCCAAAAAGAAATTGTGTGGAATGTGAACCTCCTTTGTAAGGGAGATCACAACACACCACCCACCACCCGTCCACCCATCCATCCACCATCCATCCATCCACCCATCCACCCATCCATCATCCATCATCCATCCATCCACCCATCCACCCATCCACCCATCCACCCACCCATACCACCCATCCAACCCATCCATCATCCATCACACCATCCATACACCATCACCCATCCACCCATCCACCCATCCACCTACCATCCCATCCATCCATCCATCCACCATCCACCCAGTCCATCACATCCATCCATCCATCCACCCATCCATCCATCCATCCATCCACCCATCCACCCATCCATCCATCCATCCATCCTCCACCCCACCACCATCATCCATCCATCCATCCATCCACCCATCCCATCCATCCATCCACCCGCCACCCATCCATCCACCCATCCACCCCACCCACCCACCATCCACCCATCCACATCCATCCACCCATCCACCAACCCCATCCATCCATCCATCCCACCATCCACCATCCATCCACATCGATCCCATCACCCATCACCATCCATCCATCCATCCTCCCACCATCCATCCACCCATCCACCATCCATCCATCCACCCACCCATCCATCATCATCCATCCTCCATCCATCCATCCACCCATCCAATCCACCATCCACCATCCATCCATCCAGCCCACCCCCTCCACCCATCCATCCATCCATCCATCCATCCAACCCACATCCACCCATCCATCCATCCACCATCCATCACATCCATCCATCCATCCAGCCACCCAATCCACCAATCCATTCCACTTCCATCCATCCATCCATCCATCCAATCCATCCACCCCACCCATCCACCCATCCATCCATCCATCCATCCACCCACCACCCATCCACCAATCCATCTCCATCCATCCACCCATCCATCCATCCAATCCACCCCACCCACCCACCCACCCATCCACCCAATCCATCCACCATCCATCCATTCCACCCACCCCACCCATCCACCATCCACCATCCATCCATCCACCCATCCACCCATCCATCCATCCATCCACCACCCATCCATCCACCCATCCATCCATCCACCAATCCATCCATATCCATCCATCCATCCATCCATCCACCATCCAACACCCATCCATCCATCCACCCATCCACCCATCCACCCATCCATCCATCCTCCACCCATCCACCATCCATCCATCCATCATCCACCCATCCACCCATCAACCACACCATCCACCATCCACCTCCACCCTCCATCTCCACCATCCCCCATCCATCACCCATCCACCCATCACTCCATCCATCACCATCACCCCATCCAGCCCATCCACCCATCCATCCACCCATCCATCCCATCCATCCATCCACCATCATTCACCTCACCACCCACCCTCCACCCATCCATCCATCCATCCATCACCCATCCACCCATCCATCCATCCATCACCCACCCATCCACATCCACCCATCCATCCATCCATCCATCCATCCATCCACACCCCACCAACCCATCCACCATCCATCCATCCATCCATCCACCCATCCACCCATCCATCCACCCATCACCCATCCATCCATCCATCCATCCACCCATCCATCCATCCATCCACCCACCCATCCATTCCACCCATCCATCCATCCATCCATCCATCCATCCATCCATCCACCCCACCCACCCATCCACCCATCCATCCATCCATCCACCCACCCATCCATCCACCCATCCATCCATCACATCCATCCATCCATCCAATCCACCCAGCCATCCATCCATCCATCCAATCCCCATCAATATCCATCATTCCATCACCACACCCACCCATCCACCATCCATCCATCCATCCATCCACCCATCCATCCATCCATCCATCATCCATCCCATCCACCCACACCCATCCACCCATCCATCCATCCATCCATCCATCTCCACCCACCATCCATCCATCCACCACCCATCCATCACCCATCCACCCATCCATCCACCCATCCACCCATCCACCATCCATCCACCCATCCATCCGTCACCACCCATCCACCCATCCACCCATCCATCATCCATCCACCCATCCACCCATCCATCCATCCACCCATCCACCCATCCATCCATCCATCCATCCGTCCGTCGCGCCCGGTCCATTCGTCCATCCACCCATCCTCCACTCCGTCCATCCATCCATTTCCATCCATCCATCCATTCATCCATCCACCCACCCACCCATCCACCCATCACCCATCCACCATCCACATCCATCCACCCATCCATCCATCCATCCACCCACCCATCCATCACCCATCCATCCATCCACCCATCCATCCATTCCCCCATCCATCCATCCATCCATCCATCCACCCACTCCACCCTCCATCCATCCATCCATCCACCATCCACCCATCCACCCATCCACCATCCACCCTCCACCAACACCATCCATCCACCATCCACCCATCCATCCCCATCCACATCCACGTCCATCACCCCATCCATCCACCCATCCACCCATCACCCATCCACCCACCCATCACACCATCCATCCATCAATCCATCCACCCATCCATCCATTCCATCCACCCACCCACCCCCACCACATCATCCACCACCCCATCCTCCACCCATCCACCCATCCATCCATCCATCCACCCCCACGTTTCCACCCATCCATCCCATCCATCCATCATCCATCCATCATCCATCCACCCACCCACCCATCCACCCATCCATCTCATCCATCCACCCATCCACCGCATCCATCCACCATCACCCATCCATCCATCCATCCATCCACCCATCCATCATCCATCCACCCACCCATCATCCACCCATCATCCATCCATCCAATCCATCCATCCATCAATCCATCCCCAACCCACCCATCCACCCATCCATCCATCCATCCACCCATCCATCACCCTCATCATCCATCCATCCATCCTCCATCCCACCACCACCATCACCATCCATCCATCCATCCATCCCATCCATCCATCCATCCAACCCACCCACCCACACCCATCCCATCACACACTCCACCCATCCATCCATACCATCCATCCATCACATCCATCCATCCATCCACCACACCCATCCCACCCATCCATCCATCCATCCATCCATCCACCCATCATTCCATCCATACCCACCCACCATCCACCCATCCACCCATCCATCCACCCATCCACCCATCACCCATCCATCACCCATCCATCCGTCCATCCACCATCCCACCCCACCATCCATCCATCCATCCACCCATCCACCCATCCATCCATCCACCATCCACCCATCCATCCATCCACCATCCGTCCATCCATCCGTCCATCCGTCCATCCATCCATCCATCATCCACCGTCCATCCGTCCATCCATCCATCCATCCATCCATCCATCCACCCACCCACCATCCACCCATCATCTCATCCATCCATCCACCCCACTCCATCCACCCACCCATCCATCCACCCATCATCCATCCATCCATCCATCCACCCATCCATCCACCCAATCCATCCATCCATCCATCCATCCATCCATCCACCCACCCACCCATCCACCCATCCATCCATCCATCCATCACCCATCCATCCATCATCCAGTCCATCCACCCATCCATCCACCATCCACCCATCCATCCACCATCCACCCTCCATCCCATCCATCCACCCATCCATCCGTCCATCCACCCATTCCACCATCCACCCATCCATCCATCCATCCACCCATCCACCCATCCATCCATCCACCCACTCCACCCCATCCATCCATCCGTCCATCCGTCCATCCATCCGTCCAGATCCGTCCATCCGTCCATCCCGTCCATCCGTCCATCCGTCCATCCCATCCATCCATCCATCCATCCATCCATCCATCCATCCACCCACCCACCCATCCACCCATCCATCCATCCATCCATCCATCCACCCATCCATCCATTCCACCCATCCACCCATCCATCCCATCATCCATCCACCCATCACCCATCCACTCCATCCACCCATCCACCCATCCATCCACCAAGTCCACCGTTCCATCCATTCCGTCCATCCACTCCACACCCACCCACCCATCCACCCTCCAATCCATCCATCCATCCACCCATCCATCCATCCATCCATCCACCCATCCACCATCCATCCATCCCACCCATCCACCCATCCACTCCATCCATCCATCCGTCCATCCATCCGTCCATCCACTCCACCCACCACCCATCCACCCATCCATCCATCCATCCATCCACCCATCCACCCATCCATCACTCACCATCACCATCTCACCATCCATCCATCCGTTCCATCCATCCAGTCATCCATCCACCACCCACCCTTCCACCCATCCATCCATCCACCCATCCACCCATCCATCCATCCATCCATCCGTCCATCCATCCGTCCATCCATCCACCCGTCCACTCGAATCACCGCCATCCACCCATCCACCTTGACCTTGACTCCAGCCTCTGTGACCTTGCTTCACTGCAGCCTCCAGCGTCCATTACGTGACTTTTCTGACATATTACCCCGTGAACAAATCCATGGGTGTGTCCCCGTGTGAGGACGACGTAGTCCCTCAAGCAGAGGTGACAGTGACCTGAACACCGGTACTGAGGCCTCACCTTGCGCGTGCCAGGTGACGTTACATCCATGTTGACTTTGTTTGTCCATCTTAACCATGGCCCCGTTTCCTCCGCCTTGGGACACAGTTGTCCACCGTCCTCCCTGAGAAACACAGTCTGTCCCCCCGTCCTCCTTGGTGACAGCCATGTGCGCCATGGGACCGGCGTCCCCCCAGCTGTGGACATGGCGTCCCCTGCTCTTACCTGACGCTGCTTGTTTCACATAGCAGCACAGGTCGCCCACCCCGAGTCCATCGGCCCATCAGCACCACGAGTTTGGGCCTGGAGTTCTGCAGTCACCACGTTCCACCTGTGTCCCCAAGAAGACAGCACAGGGACGGACAGGACACCCATGGCCACCCGCACCTGTGAGGATGAACGAGAATGATGAGTGTGAATCGGGGCTGCTGATGCTGCGGTCTTCAGCAGATTTTCAGCAGTGCAGTAACCATGATGCCATCGACCTCCATCCTCGTGTCCCTTTTTCTGTAGCCATGGCCCGACCAACCCTTCCTAGACCCCTGTGTCCCCGGCTCAGCCCTGTCCCCTCCTGGGGCCGTGTGCAACCTGGGTCTGTGACTGACAACACAACCGCAACTCCTGTCACCTCTGTGACTTGAGTATACAGGAACAAGCTCTAGATCGTCCCCAGTCTCTCGCCAGCCGAGGACCCTAAATCCTGTCCTTTTGTCACCAACTGAGGTCACAATCCTTTACGTCCAAGGTGGACTTAAACGGATGTCCCCAGTTTGTCAATCTGGGCTGTCAGGGCCGGGCTCTGTGGCTTTGGCGTCTCCAGGGACAACCCTATACTCTTCCTTTTCATGACTTGGGACTCGGACAGGAGGACATCCCAGTCTTCTTGGAGACCAGACACCGCCACGCTCCGCTGCTTTGGGGAGAGTTATTTTTTTTGCCTCAAGCTATTCTTCTCGAGACTGTCTCTGTTTTTGCAAACGGCACGACCGGGACCAGGATCCTGTAGTTACAGCTCTGTGTGCCGCCCTGGATTACACGCGGGCCCCACTGCGCCCGGCTCGTTACTGGAGATGGGGTCTCGCTAACTTTTTACCTGAGCTGGCCTCCAGTCGCGGTCCTCCTGACCTCTGCCTCTCCAGGAGCTGGGATTCCGGGCGTGACCCACCTCTCCCGGCTCCACAGGATTTTGACACACATTCCTCAGGTTTGTGAAGAAGAGGAAACCAGGCAGTAGCAAACTAAGAAAAGAATGAAGTTTCAGAGCTTACCAAGCACCGGACGGCCGTCTCATGCGCTTCTGATCTTTCACCTGGGAAGAGTGAAAAAAAACTGTCCCTCGGTTTCCTGCTCACGCCTCGAAAACCCGCGGTGCCAGCGAACTCATCACCCCTTCTTATAAACGCCCAAAACCCTGCTCCCACTCTGCCTGCCTGTCCCGGAGAGCTGTGACAACCCCGCAAACCGATCCCCTACAGATGGAGATCGTTACGAATCTGGGGGCGGGGTCAGCTATTTTTGCCGATCCTCAGTTCCAATCCAGCCCGTTCCTCGGGTCCTGAACATATTTCAGGGACACCTGGGTCGCACGGTGCCCCAAAACACTTTCAAACAACCCCTTTGGCCGATTGGACGGGGGACCAACTTGTCCTAAACACACACCCAGCTAAATCAGTGAGTCACATCTGCACTGATGTCCATCGTGCTTAGGTGACGTCATCGTGCTTAGGTGACGTCATCGTGCTTAGGTGACATCATCGTGCTTAGGTGACGTCACTACGTACAAAACAATCCCCCCAAATAAAGAAGTGCTGTGATGGGAACAGAGACGAAAGTGTATAAGGCCGTTGACTCCAAATAGGACGTCTGTTTCAAATGGCCTCGAGTTCAAATCCCAGTAATGTCCCCCAAAGAAAGGAAAAATCCCACAACCAAGATGGCTGATGCAAGGCTGTTGAAAGGACAAAATTCAAGTGAATTTTCCTAAAAAAAAAAAGAAAAAAAAAATATATATATATATATATACACCCAGTGCTGTCATATGAAGTGGGTTAGGGTCAGTGGGATTGGCACACGGACCGGGGGACAGGGTGACATTTGGGACGGCTGCTCGGCCCTGTAATAATTGCTTAAAATAAGTCAAGGGTCAAAGGTGACAGCAAATTCTTGGCATTCCGGGACTGCGATGCTGATTCCGTCACCGTCACCGAAGAAAAACCTGTAATTGCAGCTTCGCAGAGACGAAGGTGCTCATTTTAAACGAGGTCGGTCAGGCTCATCAAGGCCACCAGACCCTATAACACGGGCAGACGGGGCTTGGAACGCCCCTCTAAGACGCCGGGGGGCCCCGGTGCTGGGGTGACACAATGGGGTGACCCGATTCGGGGTGCTGGCCCGGTCCCGGGAGCTGAGTGGCCTCACCCTGGTTTCCACGGCCAGCGCGTTTATGGGGTTTCCAGGGGGGTGCAGGGAAAGAGGACCCCGGGCCACTGCCTTGTCCCGTGGGTCCAGGCCGGGTCCGAATTCCCCAGTTCCTGACCTAAGCAAATGTGCCAGACCCGAAAGCAGACGGCGGGAAAAGTAAGTCATAATAATAATCGTGATGGTGTCTGTTCCACACCGGCTGCACAACTGCAAGTGTGTGAGTCCATGGACAGACAGACAGACAGGCAGGCAGATGAGAGACAGAGAGAGAGAGAAAGTAGCATAGATGAGAGACAGACAGACGGAAAACGATAGCTCTCTCTCTCTCTCTAGTCTCTCTCTGCCACTCGCCATCTCTCTCTGACGTTGTCACCCACAATAAAATGAAAACCAATTAAGGTGAATGAAAATAAGGGAAAAATTAAATGAAAATAAGACAAAACTGAAAACCAAGCCCAACCTCCTAGGGTTCCCAAACGCGGTCAGGTTCCCGGTCGCGGCGTGGACACAGGACACAGGGACACAGGGACACTTATTCCCTGCAGCCCGAAGCCCCTGGCGGTGACACAAACCCACGATAGAAAGTGAGATCTGTCCCCAAAGTGCCCACGCAGCAGGACTGACCGACAACCGGCTTTTGTCCCACAGGATCCCAGGTCCCAGGTCCCCAGGACCCGCCGGCAGTGCCTGGGGATCACAGGACGCAAAACCCCAAGTTCACCGGCCAGAATCGCAGGACCCCACGAACTCGCTCACACCGTGATGGAAATGCAAAATGCGCACAGCCCCATACAACCCAGCCAACTCCTCTCTCTCTCTTCTCTCTCTCTCTCTCTCTCTCTCTCTCTCTCTCTCTCCCTCTCTCTCTCCCTCTCTCTCTCTCTCTGTCCCCCACCTAGGGACTTTGTAAAAATGCGCATATGCCGGCTGCACTGATGGGAAATCTAATTCCTTGTACTCACCTGGAAGCGCGTGGCGTCCCAGCTCCTGCATCTGAGGACACGTCCTGGGACACAGTCCCGGGCACACCGCCCCGTGGCTGGTAGTCTATCCTAATTAAATATTAAGTGCTGCTGGCCCCCACCAGCCTCCTTTATACGGGATGGTTATTTTAGGAAGGAATCACTCAAGTCAACCAAGTGACAGGATTTCGTCTCCATGGCTCCAGTTTTCACTCAACAAACATTTTCGCAAAGGGGAATAATTTCCATGAAAACACTCTTTTAAAAGAAATTAAGGAGACAATAAGGCTTCTGGGAGAACGGCCGAAAACAGATTGTCCTAGATGAATTTCAGTTTCTTTCTCTCTTGCACCAGTGCAGATGTTACAGCGAACCCCCTTTTTTCAGTTTAAATGCATTGTATAGACTGAGCCAGTCTCAGTCTGCAACGCCTGCAATCCCAGCCCTCGATCGTGATTTCAAAGCCAGTCGGGGCTGCATAGTGAGACCCCATCTGGTAAAGGCCAGTCTGTCCGTCTTCCTATCTATCAGTTTAGGTGTGGACAAAACCCTAGTTCAAGATCCACAGAAAACCCCGAGTTCAAATTCTACAGAAACCCCAGGTTCAAGATCCCCACTGCCAGGGGCACAGGTCAGACTTTGAGACATCCCAACAGATACGACCCCCCAAATCCCGACCGGAGGGCCCCCTTCTTTTGGGGGCTCTGATAATTACTCCGGGGCTCCACTTCTTGGTCCATCTCAGGGCAAATCATCCACAAACATCTTCCTGGACATCTTTTTGCCTTTTTTTTTTTTTTTTTCATTTCTCTGCAATTCTTGGTCCCAAACAAAAATCCCATAGCTGGGACTTTTTCCCCCCAATATGCAAATCTGCCACGCTGATAAAAATGG